TTGGACGGAGAAAATAACAAAGTATTTTACTTATTTTTATTGCTTAGGATTTATGAGTGCATTTGGAGTAGAAATCCTCCATTACAATAAAAAAAATAAAATAAAAGGGCGGCAGTAGCTCAGTGTGTAGGGACTTGGCTTAGGAACCAGATGGTTGCTGGTTCAAATCCCACAAACCACAATATGGAGTGTGGACTGGTAGCTGGAGAGGTGCCCGTTTCACCTCCTGTGCACTGCCTTTTGCTGAGGAGCCCTTGAGCAAGGCAACCTAATCCCAAGACACTGCTCATGGGCGCTGCTAGCGTGGCGAGCCCATCACTCCACCATCTCTCTCCCTGTTTGCATGTCCACAAGTGTGAAGTGTGTATTTCAGCCTGTATGTGAGTGTGTGTGTAAGAATAAAAAAAAGAGTGAAAAGAAGAATTTCCCCAATAGGGGATTAATGAAGTATATATCTATCTATCTTTTTGGAACATAATTGGGTTTTGGATGTGTTAAACATTTCTGTCCATTCAATCCAGTGAATTAAGTCTTTTCATTCACTTTTTTATGCCTTTCCTCCACTTCCTCCCCCTCCAAATTCTACTAAGTTTCTGCAGGCAACTGATATGAACTAGCTGTATTCAATCAACGGGCAGGACAGTGGGAATACACATAGTAAGTCAACTGGTGGATGAACATGGGGGTGCGGCAGTGATCACACCATGTCTGGTGGCTTGCACAGCATTGTGAGCGCTTGGTGGAGATGCTCTTATCTCTGCCTCTTGAATGAAGTCTCTCCCTGTTGAATCTTGGTGGAAAATAACGAGTCAAGAAACAAGCCTTTAATCTTTGACTGAGAGGGACTGACACCAAAAAGCTAATGTTTGATGTGTAAAATAGCTGAAAAACGTACAACAGAGTTTGAGCATCTTGATGCTCCCTCATCTAATCTGCACATTTTGCATAATTAGGAGCAATACACGACTAACCACAACCTTGAAGTGCACCAAGCATCACAAAGCAATTTTAACACAAATTTAACAATGGAAAACATACATTAAAAATCAAAACGTTTCTCATTCGTCTCTTCTTCAGAGTGGTGACTCTCCCATGATCATTTTCAGACAGTAATGGCTCGGAACGGCAGGGGTGATGTGATAAAGAAAGATGGCTGCCGAGTTGAGACATTTAACATTTGTTATTCACACTACAAGATTATGTTGTCCTAGATATGACAAAAAGTTTTCACCACTGACTTAAACTTGCAACTGATTCAACAACAGAATCACGCACAGATCCTTATCCTAATCACATCAAAACTACAGAGCATTGGAAAATTTAGAGAAATTTGATGCCAACTTTTATTCTCAAAGAAATGAATACAGTAATGTAATGAGAGAAAGCCCTTTTTCTTGCTATTCTTCTTGCACTGCCTCAGAAAAGATACATTTACAAGTGCGCTGTCATGCAGAGCAAAAAGACTCCAACCTGTAGCCATATTCAGTAAGGGGTAAGATTTCATCATACATTTTCATCACACACATCTACACGGGGTGGGAGCTCCTGAAGCATTAAAATTTTATTTTATGCAAAATGTTATCACACATGTATCAAATACAAGTCAAAGAGAAAATTGCGCAAGGTTGTATCTAAAAAAAAAATAAAAATAAAAAAATCCAAATCCATCCTACTCAAGGCATTTTTGCTATCATCCCAATACAATGTAGGTGAACAATAATAATAATAATAATAATAACAATAATAATTTAAGTGCCTCAAATGTACACATATAATATACAAGTATACAGACATATATGCGTACATATAAACATGCATAATACATAAATCAATGCATTCAACCTAAATAAACAGAGTGTTATGGCAGACAAAGAGCATTTATAAAAAGACTAACCTAAGAAAGTTTTCAGCAGTCGCTTATATCAAACCACAGATTCAGCATCTCTGATGGAACAGGAAGGCTTTTCTCAAGTTTAACAGATTATTTGGTTATCATGGCACCTGTCAGATAAATCAGACAGAAAGTGAACATTTTGTCCTGGAGTTTGTGTTAGAAGCAGGAAAAATGGGCCCCGGGAGGATTTGAGCGACTTTGACAAGGGCCAAATTGTGATGGTTAAACGACTGGGTCAAAGCGACTCTGTGATGGCAGTGGCTTCTTTCAGCATGAAAAATGGTTCAGGAATGGTTTGAGGAACACAAGCTCAAGCTGTTGACTTGACCTCCAAATTCCCCAGAGCTCAATTCAATTGAGCATCTGTGGGACGATCTGGACAAACAAGTCAGATCCACGGAGGCCCCACCTCGAAACTTACAGGACTTAAGGATCTGCTGCTAACGTGTTGGTGCTAGATACCACGGCACATCTTCAGAGGTCTAGTGGAGTCCATGCCTCGGTGGGTCAGGACTGTTTTGGCAGCAAATGGGGGACCTACACAATATTAGGCAGGTGGTCATAATGTTATGGCTGATCGGTGTTGTGTTCTGACCCAGTACCTTTTCCTTGGCTGTCAGTCTTAAGTCTCCCTACCTTGGCTAGTGATGGACTCCAAAAAAGAAAAGTCTCAGAAGAAATAGATTTGTTACTTCCACCAATGCTGCTGGTGACAAAGTAACATTATTAAACTCAAATATGTTTTGCAGCCCCAGGCAGATTTTTTTTTTTTTGGGAGCTAAAGTTTCTTCCCCTGGTCTAAACCTAACCAAACCTTAACCATAGCTCTATATCAACATGACAGCATTTCCACCATTTGCTCCCAAGAGACAAAAGTCATAACTTCTATGCTAGAGGGCTTTGTCACTTGAGTGTTAATGTGTTGTTTTTGAGCATTGGCTAAAACGATCAATGATGTCAGTTTTCTTTTGGGAGGACACACATGGCAACATACAACAAAGAAAAGTGAGAAAATATATTATTTGCCAATGAAATCTCTTTGCAGGAATTCTCACACAAAGACAGCTCCCTCCCATGCGACTGCCGGCTCACCTGAGTGGTTTCACCTGTCCCCCTCTGCCATGCTGGTGTACTCCCTTCTTCCTCCTGTATTCAGCTGACATGTCTTTGCTGACACTGCACTTTGTTGCAGCTTGACCCTCCTCCTCCTCATCCTCCCCACCAGCGTCAAGGCCCCGTTTGTGGTCAAGGCAGAGGAGAAGGCATGGGAGGGGGAGAGGGAGGGGGAGGGGGAGAGATCTCTATAGCTCTGCTGATTTACAGCACCGCCTCCTGGCTCCAGGCGGTGGGGGCCAATGTCAAACCTGCATCGGGTAGCTCCCTGCGCTTGTCAAATTAATTTTATAGCTCTTGTCACTGCTTGTCTCAAGTGTCTTTCCTGACTGAGCTACACTTCACTAAATTCATTCAGATTCAATAAAAAAAACAATGCAGCAGGAGCAGAATGATGTACAGTAGCACTGTGTGGTATATAAAAAGATGAAAGCTGAAGCCTGCGCACACCTGGAGAAGTTTTTTTCTAGGAATAACGGTCAGCTTGTTAGAAGAAATCCATCCAAAAATAAAGAAGTCCTGTTGTTAGTATGTGGCTGGCTCAAAGAAACTGACCAGATCTGACATTCAAAGGAGCCCTGACCCATAAGAGATAACTGTGATACTGTCAGTTTGACCACACAAAGCCGGATACTGCAGCTGTTTTGCCCTCAGCAGAAACAAACAACTAGTTAGGTTGGAAAACATGCTGTTTTGTATCTCTGTTGCTCACCTTGTATAGAGATTCTTTCTGTACTCTGCTTTTGGAAATGAGCCGAAGAGATTTAAGTCAAATAATTACAATGTTAAAGATATTACTCTCAGTACATAGGAGGCTCTCGAGGAGACGGTTTGAATTTTAAACAGTCTGCCCTCCGGTAGCTGTATGGCGTGTAGCAGAAAATGTAATGAAAAGAATGATAATGAAAGATAAAGTATACGGCCAAAAGTATGCGGACACCTGAACATTACACCTAATATGTGATAATTCTAAATATTTTTAAAACCCACAGGCATTAATATGCTGCTGTAACAGCCTCCACAGTTATTTTTGTTCGCAATGCAAAACTCAAAGCCCGTCTGAAGACAGTTTATCGTCTGTACTTGCTCACTTTGAAGCTCACACTTTTAAAGTTATACAGTCATAAAACTTTCACTAAGTCACTACGTAGTGTGACAAGGCTAAACCGAAAGTCAAGTCAGGCTGGAGCTCTTCCTTATAATGGGCACATTTCTTATGATTTATTGTCTTTCTTCATCTCTTGTGTCTGAATCATCCCGAATAAGTACCAACTGGAAGAGCAAACACCATCCCAGGAATGAATCACAATATGAAAGTGATTAAAGAAGGTGGGACTAAATCAAATATTTGAAAGCGTTATGGACTGTGGATATAACTTTAACAGAGTATTTCAAATTAGAGAGAAATGTCATTGCAGTAGTGCCTTTGTCATTGCCAAAAAAGCTCTGTTACAGCTATTTTTAATCATGCAAAAATCAGAAACACACCATCAAACAACCATTATCCCTCTAATTTGGACAATGAAATGCCCCCTAATGAGAGTCTGAAGTGCTTCCCTGACAGTATAAATAAAACAAAACGTCTTGGAAAGCCTGTCCAGAGTTATCCCTCCTCCAACAAAACTGTTGCATTTACCCTTCCCATCATAATAATTATGCAACTGGAGGTGGGATCAGGCACCCACTCATGCTATAATAATGACCACATATAGCCCTCAGCATATCCTTCACAACACCTGCATAATGGACAGAAGAGCGTGATGGTAAAGGTGGAGACAGCTCCTGCATCGGTTTGTTTGTGTTGGTGGTGATGAAGATGGAAAAAAGCAGATCAACAAAAAACAAAAGCAAATCTCACATTTGACCAAATCTGCCCGCAGTTGTTAAACACCGCACTGAATCTTCTCTCTCTCTCTCTCTCTCTCTCTCTCTCTCTCTCTCTCTCTCCTTTTCTTTCTCCCACACGCGCGCGCCTGCACACACGTCCCCCACGCAGCCGGGCGCGCTCACGCTGAACCTGCTCGCCAATGCACTGCACAGGAGCCCTGACAGTGTCCGTGTGCCTGCCTGTGGTCCCTGCCTGGCGTCTCCGCCGCTCCACTGGATGTTTGCGCAGAGGACACCTGCCTCCGCCAGTGACTGGACCGATCCCCGCGGAACAATCCAGCTCGTTTTTACCCAACAACTTTTGCGACGTGTGACCGTTTCTGTCTCGAGCACCTGTTTCTAAGACTGTGTTTTTATAAGGTGCCAAAAAAAAAAAAAACCCTGTAGAGCCAGGCGTTTGACTTCCAACTTGGGGCTTGATGGCACGGTTATTTGTGACTGGTCTGGAAAGTTGCGCTGCGCCAGGGAGCATGGGCGCAAACTTTAAGAGCTTTTTCTAATCGAGAGACAGTTTTTAGAATGAAGGCAGGTGAGTCACCCTTCGCGTGAAAGGCGCACAGAGCTCCGGGGCTCTCCAGGCACTGGGAAGGAAAGGCACGGAGGAAGTCGTGATCTGTGCGGCGGATTGCGCCACGGAGGACGGAGGCAACGGACCGATGAGACACCATGGGTAAGTAGGTGGAGGATTGTCTCGTTTTGAAGCGATTGCCGCCAAAGGATGAAGAGCCGAGGAGTCTGCAGATCATCACCATTGTTAGTTGAGCGCACTTATGGTCCTTGCAAGAACAGTATGGCTCGGGTTTTTCCTCCTCTGGCGCATCTGTGAGTGTGTGGATGTTCTGAACATTTCCCAAAAGCTTTCGCGGCTTATTCCTGCGCAGCAAGCTGGCACCTCCAGTATGTCAGTCTACTTTTGCCTTATGATTTTTGTTGCAAGTATTTCCTAAAATGTTCTGCATTTAAGATCAGCACTGAGAGGTTTTCCTTCTCTATTCATGAATCTGAAAAAAAAAAAAAACCCAACAACAACAAACAAATGCTGCAGGCGGGAGTGTTGGTGCTTCTGAATATCAAGGGGAGGAGAGAGACAATAATTCTCTCACCTTTATGGTGTGGAAGTGATGTAGCCCAAATTATCTAGTCTAGTCGACGTGGTTCTGGGTGCCATTGCACAATGAGTTGAAGCTCAATAAAAACATGATATGGCAGGTGAGGCTGCATTAACGACAAGTTTATTGACTACAATCTGACCTTAAATGGTGGAAATTTGCAGATATGTGTCTGTATTCTGTGTCCCCCCCCCACCTCCTCAGCTCCCCCCGCGGTTCTTCCTTTCAGAGCTCTGACATGTTTAGACTCCGTCCTGTTTTTTTTTTTTTCTACCTCCCCTCTTCTCCTGACAGCTCTGGGCACCTACAATCTCATCCCACACTGCCTATCACCTCCTCCATTTTACTGACATGTGGGTGCTCCAAAGCTAAATTCACCGCTCAGCCTCATAAAACCTCCCAAACCCACACGTCTCTCCAGTGTTAAAGGAGATTTGCGTTCCGCAGTCAATTTTTATTTATTTATTTTGCCTGTCTTTATATGGGGGTGGGGGGGATTTGGGTGGAAGGAGGGGGTTCAAAGGGACTGTGGGTGTTCAGAATTGTCCCTGAACATGCGATCGATTGATGCTGACTCTTAAGCAAGTCTGCTGCTGTTCCGATGGAAAGGCTCACGATGTTTCAAGTCCTTTCTATCGGTGCAACTTTTGTTCTTGGATATTTCAGTGAAGGACTAATATTCATACAACGGGCACGAGCACAGGCGCACACACTCCGGGCATGTGTGATACAGGCGCAGAGAGCCGTTTGGAGTGTTTTTAAACGGCGCCATTGTGATTCATCTTGTTTGTCTTGATTTCTCACTTGTTGGATTTATGCTGCTGATTTGGTTTCACTCTTATTCTTTAATTCCAAAATTGACTGAGGGGCTGACGCAAGCTGCAGGGATGCATGCTGCCCACACATCTGTGCAGAATTGTGGCATTCTCCCAAGTAATGAGCAGCTTAGTGCAACTAATGAGCACGTACTATTACAGTTTTAATTATGTCATCACAATTACTAGAGGCCAAAATAAGTAGTTGCATTTGTTAGGATATCAACACTTCTGACTTGAAGCTCTCTCACAGCATCCATCCCATCTTCAGCCACCGCCTGGTTCTCCTCATACAAGGGCAGACTGAATGGGAAGGAAAGGGTTTATATTGCCTGGTACTTTTCAACAACTGTTCAAAAGAACAAGTTTTCAATATTGATTTTTTTTTTACTCATCAATGACTAGCCTAAGTGAATACTGCTATCAGTTTCCTGCAAATTGCTTGTTGTTCCCAACCAACAACTCAAAAGCAGCAACCCTTTACATTTGAGAAGCTGGAAATACAGAATGTTCATCAAAATTAGTGACAACACATTTTTCTGTTGGTTGCCAATCCAATAAATTGAATAATCGATTCAAAACTAGCATCAATTAATGTAATTATATTTTAAAGGGAACAATAGGTAAGAAGGAAGAGTTTTGTCTAACAAGCCCAACACTGATACATTTGAATCACCTATTTGTGGACTAAGCTGTGAAATTTATATTCAGGCCTAACTCCCACAACATCAAAACAGCAGACTGAAAGTAAGAGCAGGGAAACATAACTCAGGAGTCATTGTGAGCGACACAAGGACACGATGGGCTCCGGTCTGACTGAACACACTCAACTGCTGTACTAGAAGTGCTTAGGCAAGAGCAAAAGGGAAATTAGACTCAAATAACCTTCAATTTTTTCAATAATCCGTCAGTTTCTAAGAGCAGACAGAGACGGTAATTGGTCCATGGAGCACGTTTCTGGTAAACCTGAATATAGTGGAAAAAAACACAAGTAACCTGTGGATACAATTTTCCCATTCCTCGTCAAGCTTATAATAGTGAAGATAATTAGAAGATCCAGTGCTATTCACAGGTTTGCCATTGGCACAAAACTACTAACTTTGCCTGCAGCTTTAGAACCATCATGAGTCGTAGACGAGGAGGAGAATTTATAGAGCTGGTTTCCCAGCTCTATAAATTCATTAGCATTGTCAAACTACATAGTTTTTAATTAGATTAAATAAATAAATAATAATAAATAAATACCTTTAAGTGAAAGATAAAGAAAGGTCTATCTACGCTACAGAATGTTGCGGTTGCTTTTACTGTGCTTCTTTGAGAGCCATGCTAAAGAAAAATTCTGCATATATTTAAACAAAAAAAGAAGAAGAAAGAAGAAAAAATAGTAACCTTTCTAAAAAAGCTGAAGCCATCAATAAGGATTATTCTGTCAGTGTGAGGCATGTTTCCTCAGTCTGAGCCTGACTGAAAGTCCCCATCTGGCACTTTTTGCAGCAGTTTAGTAATATTCACTTCACCCACTCATGCCATCAAACCGTCATAACACAGCATATCACACAGAACTCTTTCACTGTACCTCCAGGTCATTCATTTTACTTATTTTGTCACTGTTGTTGTGCAGATTGCTGGACAATCCTGAATGGCAACACGTCTTCCAAGTTCTTTCTCGTCTTTTTTATGTTGTATTTTCTTTCTTTGAAATTCTAAAATAACTGTGAAAGACTTCTCCCAAACAATGTGTCCTGCACACTGAACTCATGCAGTGAAATATGGGCAGAAACACAAAACTGAGAACAAAGTCTGGCTAGGAGCTGAGCTTGCACAAAAAAAAGAAGCGGCAACAAGAGGCACATGATAATGTATTGTGTAATTTGGAAGTCAGTGAAGCACACTACAGCCTACATTTGGTTGTCATGGTTTTATAGATTTGATAATGTTGGCTTTTTCATATTTTAGATTTTCATATAAGAAGTCCTTTAGCCTAAAGATCATTTGTCATGCCTTCCAAAACAACGTATGAACACCTCTGAGGTTAAGGTTTAGGCAACTAAAACTACTTAGTTTGGGTTGGGGATAGATCTTGGTAAAGTTTAAAAGAAACCATCACTGATTGTTGGTAACAGACAAGGAAGTAACTGTAATATCTCCCAAAATCACATTATACCAATGTCACACTACGTCAACCTTTACAAAAAAAAAAACCTTTCCCAAAAAAAAGATTTCTTATTGTATATACACTTATAAAAAGATACAAATTATTATATTCAATGTCTGCCAATACTGTAAATCCTCCTAAATGTTGCACACTGGATCTTTATAACTAAATAACCATCAATCAGTTAAAGTTGAAGTAAAAAAAAAAAAAACAACCATAGTTGCTGAAATCTAATGTATGGAAGTATGTGACCTCACCTTTTTCCAGTAGAGCCCGCCTACTTCAAACCAGTAAGAGGGCTTTGATAAAAACACAGACACAGAAATCTTAAGTAACCTACCCTGTTCTAATTTTGGCAGAAAAAAAATTTGAGTTCATGTAGCAGCCCATAGCTCATAATAAAAAGCTGATTTAGAAATGAGGTTTTCAGGGCCTTTAAACAAATGACCATTGCTTTCATTTTTCTGATGTGTAATGTCCCTTATGGGGCTTCAAAGTATAAAGCCTCAGAAGGGAAATAGAGAAAAATATAGAAAGAAGAAAAGCTATATCTTCTTCCAAGTCACTTGGACACCTGGGAAAATAAGCACCAAAAACAGTAGCATTTTTGGTATACATCTATATTGTTAATAAGGTTCAGATCATTAGGAATATTGGATAAATAACCTGTGCAGTTGCTGTGCCAAGTGTATGTTTTTATTCATTTACCATTTGTGCAGATGGGGCTTTTATTCTGAAGAATTCATGTCAGATTTACAAAAGAATGCAAAAAAATTGCATTTTATTATTATTATTCCTCCCATCTATGTTTTCCTCCACATCCCTTATAGGGGCTCCAAAGCAGGGTGCGAACTACAGTGGAGCCAGGTGGAGAATAGTTTTTTAAAATATTATATTTTTGCCATTAATTTCTATTTTTCTGCATCTCCATCATCATGGATCATGCATGAAATTAGGCTATTATATATGCTATATATGTATGATCTAATTCACTTTAACAAAGATACCGGAATGCTATTCTTGCCATCTCCATCAAAGCGCAGACCTCACTTACTTTAACTCAAAGATCAGAAAAAACTAACTTTAAAAAAAAAAAAGTGACCTCACCTGAATGCCATGGCATAGTTCGCAGGACCAGTGCAGTTAAAATGATGAATATAAGGATTCAATGTTCAAGTTCATCTAATTTAACTAATAAATAATGAGCAAACAGTATAATTGTTTCCTCAAGGCAAAATGAGGCGATTACAGAATACACAGCAGGAGTAATTAAATCAACTCTGAATCTGAATTCAAATAAACATTGCTTTCACACTCCTGAGTAGGTTCACTTCTGACCTTCACTGATTACCAGCGAACCACACACACACCCTCATCATCTATGATGACAACTCCTCTCCCTTTACAGCAGCCTTGCCTTCACAGTGGCCAGCCTAAACGTCTTGGTTCGTGCTGATCTTTTGACATCAGCAATCATATCGATCAATGCAGCTCTCTGTCTCTCTGCACAGATTTTTAAAGCAATAACTTGCATGCATGCTTCTGTGTGTGTGTGGAGGGCCACACCAAAGCCAGTGTTGGTAAAGTTCCT